TCGGTAGAACAGATACGTCGTAAACAGAGTGCTAGACTGAAAGGAATGGTTTTTTTAGTATGTAAGACATGACAAGATGAATAGAGTAGATGTTGGTGTTTGTCTGTAGGTTTGGTGCAGAGGTCAGTAGATATATTACCGTCGTTAGTCAATGAGACACTAATAACGTCAAGGAAAGGTATGTTAGTAAAAGAGTGTGGACTAGTGAATTTAATGATGGAGTGAATGTTGTTAAGATAATCGATGAAAATTTTAGGTTATTCAGGCCTTCGTTCCAGATCATAAAAATGTCATCGATTTATCGTAGCGCCAAGTGTGTTAAGAAACCACGACGGCGACATCAATGACAGCGTCGATTAAAAAATGAGTTCATATTTTACCTACGAATCTCGTCGTACTCTAGAGTCATTTAATTTGTTTATCACCGGTCAAAGCTATCACGAAACTGAATCTAGGACACATCGAATGATTCGAAATGAAAATTTAAAAAATTAGCCGTCGTGGTTCACGTTCTTCAGACAACGCAGAAGTTGGTCATTTCAGGTTGTTGTTTTGCAGAGGACGGTTAAGAAATGTACCAAGAATTATAACGCACGTGCACAGCCATTGTTCTGCTCATAAAGCCTTTGTTTGGCGACGTTGCCGTTGCCGTTGCCGTCGTGGCGTTCATAGTTGTCGACAACTAAGGCCCTGTCCACACGAATCCTGATATTTTTGAATCCTCAACTTTTTCTCTCCGGATACGGCTTCCCTCCACACGCCGATGATCCGGCGAACTCTGCAGCGAATCCGAATATTTTTTAATCCGCTCTCCAGAGTGGAAAAAAATAAATCTGCAACGAATCCGATAACGTGTGGACAGTGAATCCGGACATTTTCGAATCCGACGTCGTAGCAAAATCGTGTCCAGTCTCTTACCGAAAAATTATTCAATATTTCGGCACAACGTGTAGGCCTAGTTTGTCTAGACTGAATCCGGATACCATCGAATGCGTGTGGACAGGCGAATTCAATTTGAATACGCTACGTGTGGACGGGGAATTTTTGAATCCGGAAAGAAAAAGTTGCGGATTCAAAAATATCCGGATACGTGCGGACGGGGCGTAAAAGTCTAGTCAGTGGTGGCCCTTAGTACTGGATCTAAGATACAAAGTAATAGGCTACTTTCGATATATTGAAATTCAGCTTGTTAGCGAGGCCTAGTAGCACAAAGAAGAGAAATGATGAAACATGCTCATTCAATTTGCTTTGTTTGTGTCCTCTAGACCTCGCTGCTAGCTGAATTTTAATAATTCAAACTGTTAGGCCCGGTCCAAACGCCGCTCCAGTCATGTGCCGAACGAAACTGGATTAAGTTCGACTTTAGAGCGACTTTAGAGCGACGGCTGGTTCAGACAGCGTACTTGCGTCGAACTTAATTCGGGAAGCCGGTGGTAACAATTTTCGAGGAGAAAATACGCGTTCTGAATTCAAGAACTCTGTCCAAATAGAAAAGCTGTAACTAACATTTCGCCGTTATAGCAATATTTGGGGAAGCAAATTCAAACTCAAGGTTCAGGGTTTGTATTTAGACAGTTTTCTCCCGGTTAATTCGACTTGTTTAAGGGAAATCGCATAACCTGAGCTATTACCACGAAGAAAAAGCAAAAAATGAATTTGCGCGAAAGAAACTCGCTTGTACAGTCCCGTTTCTCTTAGCCTGCGTAGCAGGCGTATANAATTCGTGAGGAAATACCTTTGATCGTGTTTGGAACAAAAGAGTTTTGCTAATCATGAAGTCAGCAAACCCTGACTGCATGCACTACAGGACTTAACCTGCGTAGCAGGCGTATAAAGGGGAGGGGGTGGGGGAGGAGGAAGAGAATTCCCCACTTCTCCGTTTTTTTCCCCCGAATTCTCTTCCTCCTCCCCACCCCCTCCCCTTTATACGCCCGCTACGCAGGCTACGTTTCTCTTGAATCGAAGGCATATTTAATTTCGTTGTGTTTATTTTTAGTGACGACTTCGAGCTTCATGTATGACTGGTCAAGCCACTCAATATTGAGCCAATCACGAGTCCCGTTATACGAAAAATACGTTACAGTAATTACTCAGTAAGAAATCAGTAAAAAGCGATGTAGTCAAAGATTATTAGTTATTTAGGTTCTTATTAGCAGTTGTGTTGTTTTCCAATTTACCTGTAAATTAGTATTTTGTTCATTTCTGTCACCTTTCCAAGTCTTTCTTTTATAGTTTAATATATAGCTGTTATTAGTTGCCGTAGCTATTGTGTGCTCTTCTTATATTAATATTTTGTATTCATATATAACTTAAACTATTTTAGGATTCCTTCATAGCATAGAAATAGCGTTTTTCCTCGTCTTTTTTTTTTTTCTTCTTGTGTGTTCATTTGTGCTCAAGTTTTCTTGCTGACCTGTATTTTATTTCTAATTAATGCTGACGTTAACTGGCTGCCTGGCTCGGCTAGCCCCTATGGTTATTCCAAGCAGCTAGTACTCAAATTTTTACTTTTAATATTTTCATTGAAATTGTATTTTTTTCTTTAGCAAGAATGAGTACAAATAAAGATTGATTATGATTATGCATTATGTTCGACCCATGAGGAGAACGCCGCATGAATCAGCTGCCGCTCCAACGTCGCATAGTCCGACAGACCCTGCCGAATTTAATATTGTTTGCCGCACCAAACCTAACCTGCCGAACCAAACTGATTCAAACGCCGCTCTTTTGCCGTACTTAACTCATCAGTTAGGTTCGGCGCATGAATAGAGCGGCGTTTGGAGCGGGCCTTAGTTTATTGAATTTCACGAAGAAATATAGATTTTATGCATTCTAATCGTTCCAAATCTTTATTAGCTATAATTACAAAATAACCCTTAAACTGTGATTTACTGAATTATTATTTTGAAGCTGGAGAAAATTTCAGACGACGCCACAGCCTTAATAGTCTTCTAGGCAGAGGTTCGTTACGCTAGTCACGCAATCTGTCTCCTGAAGATCGCGTGACGAAGCCAAAGAGCGTCTGGGCAGGAGGCTGGAATGTTTTATGTATTGAGTGTAATTCTTCTAAACACTCTCCTTAACCTTAAGGTTCTTTGCAAACCAGACAGAAATTCCAGTGTTTATAAACATCACCAATATGGCCACACCCATGGTGTTGATAAGCGAGACATAGGCAGTTGTTTCCTCCAACAAGTGCTCTTTCTTCAGATAGCTGACATTAAGGTCCAAGATTTTGAACGCATATTCCGTTGCCAGGGCAACGCAAAGGTGCAGGAAGTGGTGGCTGTTACCAATGAGATCAAACCTCCCGGGAAAAAGTCGTTCAGGTAACCTACTGCTGTACATGAAGCCCGCGAGAGTTGTGCAAAATACGTGACGGAGATAGTAACTGACAGACTCGCTACTACAGGCAGACAAAGCTCTACACGATGAGTTTGTTGCGTGACAGCTGCATAGCGTCACGCCAGCTGTAAATGGCAGAGTGCTGAAAACCCAGGCAACGAGGGCAGGTAAAGCACGGAGAAGGGTACTGAACTTGTTGACTGCAGCATCAGTCTTACAGCAACCGTACGTCACAAGAAACGAAAAGAGTGCCGCTAAACACAGGTACAAAGATGGCGACTCAAAGATTATACACTGTGTGTTCATTGGCCGAACGTAGAAGAACATTGCTTGGCTCGAGGTAAATGTGTACAGGCTTACGGCGGCGTAGTCAAAGAAGAAGCAGATTTTGTATCCTCGCTCAGACATAGAGTTGAGAAGATGCGCAACGGAGCTTGTGGAGTAAAGTATTAGAGTTCCAAAGGCAGAGGCAAAGAGAGGTAAATTGAAAGGATCTAGCAACGAGTTGCACTGAGTGGCGGCGGCCGTTCCATAACGCACCAAAAAGTAACATGTTGTTAAAATGTGGCTCCACACGTTAAAGCTCTCATTGTTTAGGTAGAAAAGGCTCTTGAAACACTGCCAAGGTGTACTGTAAGCTCTTCTATATCCCGACTTGATGAAGGGTTCTCGAAGACCCTTTGGCATTTCGCGTTCTTCAAAAAGAAGCTTGTCCTTTTGTGTGGCGCAATCCTTCATGCTGTCGTTGTTGTGGTAAGTGGTGCTTTTGGTAGGATTGTAGTTTCTGTTGCGCTTTGTGCTTGCCATGCTTCCGTCAGAGGCTGTGTAAACAAGTTTGAAGTAGGTTTATACTAAGTTAGGAGACAACAGCTGGTACTAACCCTGTATTTATATCAAAGTCAACTCTTAGAGGAGTAAAGTGTTATTTAAACTAATGAAGAGCTTGGTTTTAAGCTTTTTATTGATTTTTCACCTGTGTCAACCGAAGTTATTGCGCGCGAGGCATGTTTACAAGACCCTGGAATCGAGGAAGATTACCATCGTTCTATATTTGCATAATTATTCGCTGACTCATTCCGTTCTAAAAATATGCCCTTGCCATGGAAACGTTGAACTGGCATGGCGTCTCTACACATATGCCATAATAGACTCCTTGTCGATGAAAATACTGGAGTCCTAAGCTAAAACAGCATTTTGCATATGGTGTACTTAACCCGACTTTAAATAAGTAATATTCTCGGTCGATATTTATAAAAATAAGTCAAGCGTAAAGTGTAGCTAGGTAACTGAAAAGCGTGAAAACAATGTATGAGAACGGTGCTCAAATGAACTTGGAATATCATTTGAAAACTGTAAAGCAGTGTTTATTCTTTTGTGTCGAATATACAGGTATCACATAACTACATCAAACAAGCAGCTTTACTTGTTCGGGTATAAACAATACAGAAAATACAAACTATCAGATTTTGCTCTTACAGGATAAAAGCTGAATGAAAATTCATTTCAATCTTACAGTGAATAATTTCTATGTTTTCTCTACTTTGGTTTCTGTTTCCAGGGAATAAATTGGATGCAGCAGGTTCTGGCAAAAACTGGTCAGTCAAATTCTAAATCTTTCGTTAGTTACATCCCGAAACACAAGAAACTACATGCTGTGGTTTTGAAAAACAGAATACTCCATGTTACGTAACTTAAGCTCAGGAACACAGATTATTTTTCGATATAACCACCGGCAAACGTACCTTCCATGCATTTGCAAGTCTTCAAACAAAACTTCTCGAAGCACAAATCAGTTAGCGAAGAGCCGTGAGTTTGGGCGTCTTCGACTCATTAATAATTACAAACAAGGACAAATAACCAGTAACGCTTGATTTGCGACCAAACGCTAATTGGTATGCCAAGTCTTCAGATGCGTTGTAAAGTGATACATTAGCTTGGCCGAGACTTTGCACTGTCTTGTGATTTCCTTGCGTTAATTTCTAATTTCTAACCCTTAGCATTAACAAATTGGGCGAATTTCTGAATTTCTCGTCAAGGTCGGATGTGCACCCTGAAATTTTTGCTCACCCGCGCGTCATCACTGCTTTAGCGAGAAATTGTAAACACAATACTGATATCAAAGAGATGGGAGTTACTATTCCCATAGCCTGAACCCGGTCTTAGTATTTAATAAAGAACATAGCTAATCGTTAAAAGAAAAAAAACACAATGGCACGTTTTATAAGTCCATAACCGTGACCGAGTAGGCTGGAAAGATGGACATTGTAGGTCCGCACTAAGTTCAAGCCCGATAACTGTTTCTTACTGAATTATGCGTGACAACGCTGCCAGACGAAACGTAAACAAGTAGTCCTTTCTTCGATCCTGAAAAGCCTATTGACTGTCGTTTAAGTAGTAATTTCATTGCTAAAACTAAGAGGAAGACAGCGGAATTAGTTTACTCACCGTCTGGAGAGATTTGCAGCTGAACAAGGTTATAATGAGATCACGGAGAGAGCAACACATTCATTCAGTTACAACCGTTCGAATCTTCAATTCTCGTTACTTATTTTCGTACATTTCTTACAATGTTACGGCTCAAAATTTGGCAATCAGCTTTACATCCGCTACTTCCATGAGATGCTGTTAGGTGTTAAAAATATTGCACCACTACGGACAGGAGAAATCAGCCTCCAGCGGTCTTTCAGTTTCAAAGTACACTCTAATACATAAATATTTATTCACAGTTGATTGTCAAATGGTCACGAAACAACAGCGCGTTCAAATGATCATCGCTGTCTAAGCTAAGTTACTAAATTTCTAGGGTAAATAGTTCTTTAAATATGGTTTGGGGTAATCTCCTCCAGATGTATATTTTATTGCTGTAGATGTTTCCTTCATGCGTAATTTATTCAACAACACTTCGTATGTAATTTCTGGTATTTATATTGATCCATGTCACTTTGTTTACGAAACACTGACTTCACACAATGAGTTTTCACGTAAATGGTAACGAGAACATGACTTGCGTTTTTAACCCTCGTTCTTAAAAATGTGGAGAGTATAGACATTGCTCATATTAGACATCCCTAAAACCCACAAAAGTGACTTTAGAAAATAGAATAAGCGGCATGTTTTAGAAACGCTCTACGTCCTTGGAGAATATGAAAACAACACAATTCTTTGACCTTTTTTGAATTGCCAATTAGCATTTTGAAGATGAAAATGGAAAAAAATTATTCAAATCACTTGACAATATTTTCTGAACTGTTGCTCAAATGAAATTTTGTATTCATCTCAGAATGTTTTCATGAAGTCGCGGCTCATAAATAAAATAGATAAGCGATATACATTGTATAGCGTGACGGAGATACTGACGGAAATTGCTCGAAAACCGCAGAATGGTACTATGAACTTTTGCTTCTCATGTGAGTGACGTAGCATGTCTCTGTTCGTCATTTTACACCTCACTGATCATTTAACATTATTGCAAGACGCCTAAGTTTACTAAGAAGCAACGGGAACATTTCAACACAAACATTTATGTCGAAATGAAACTCCGATCAAAGTCCGTGATTCCTGCCCACGAAAAGGTAAATAATAATCGAAACAACAACGACAGAGGCGTTTCAGCGAAGTTATTGAATGGAAAAAGCGGGAAACATGTCCTTTTATACAACGTCAGTGATGTTCCACCCGGCCTTCACGAATCATTCGTCAGAACAGGATACAGAAAGCCTAACAGCACTACCTGGGAATGTCTCCAAAGCCTCTTTTACGTCAACAACGAGTCTTTCAACATGTGGAGTCATATCATAGCAGTTTTGTACTTTATTGTGCGGTATACAGTAGTTCTGCTTGAGTTACGACAACCGAGCTCGCCTCAGAGAGATTTCTATTGGCCAATGTTGTCATCGTTTATCGGAACAATCACCGTGTACACATTGAGCGTCACTGCTCNTCGGTAGAACAGATACGTCGTAAACAGAGTGCTAGACTGAAAGGAATGGTTTTTTTAGTATGTAAGACATGACAAGATGAATAGAGTAGATGTTGGTGTTTGTCTGTAGGTTTGGTGCAGAGGTCAGTAGATATATTACCGTCGTTAGTCAATGAGACACTAATAACGTCAAGGAAAGGTATGTTAGTAAAAGAGTGTGGACTAGTGAATTTAATGATGGAGTGAATGTTGTTAAGATAATCGATGAAAATTTTAGGTTATTCAGGCCTTCGTTCCAGATCATAAAAATGTCATCGATTTATCGTAGCGCCAAGTGTGTTAAGAAACCACGACGGCGACATCAATGACAGCGTCGATTAAAAAATGAGTTCATATTTTACCTACGAATCTCGTCGTACTCTAGAGTCATTTAATTTGTTTATCACCGGTCAAAGCTATCACGAAACTGAATCTAGGACACATCGAATGATTCGAAATTAAAATTTAAAAAATTAGCCGTCGTGGCTCACGTTCTCCAGACAACGCAGAAGTTGGTCATTTCAGGTTGTTGTTTTACAGAGGACGGTTAAGAAATGTACCAAGAATTATAACGCACGTGCACAGCCATTGTTCTGCTCATAAACCTTTTGTTTGGCGACGTTGCCGTTGCCGTTGCCGTCGTGGCCTTCATAGTTGTCGACAACTAGGGCCCTGTCCACACGAATCCTGATATTTTTGAATCCTCAACTTTTTCTCTCCGGATACGGCTTCCGCCCACACGCCGATGATCCGGCGAACTCTGCAGCGAATCCGGATATTTTTTAATCCGCTCTCCAGAGTGGAAAAAAATAAATCCGCAACGAATCCGATAACNCACACGAATCCTGATATTTTTGAATCCTCAACTTTTTCTCTCCGGATACGGCTTCCGCCCACACGCCGATGATCCGGCGAACTCTGCAGCGAATCCGGATATTTTTTAATCCGCTCTCCAGAGTGGAAAAAAATAAATCCGCAACGAATCCGATAACGTGTGGACAGTGAATCCGGATATTTTCGAATCCGATGACTTAGCAAAATCGTGTCCAGTCTCTTACCGAAAAATTATTCAATATTTCGGCACAACGTGTAGGCCTAGTTTGTCTAGACTGAATCCGGATACCATCGAATGCGTGTGGACAGGCGAATTCAATTTGAATACGCTACGTGTGGACGGGGAATTTTTGAATCCGGAAAGAAAAAGTTGCGGATTCAAAAATATCCGGATACGTGCAGACGGGGCCTAAAAGTCTAGTCGATGTCTGTGGTGGCCCTTAGTACCGGATCTAAGATACAAAATAACAGGCTACTTTCGATATATTGAAATTCAGCTCGATAGCGAGGCCTAGTACCACAAAGAAGGGAAATGAAGAAACATGCTCATTCAATTTGTTTTGTTTGTGTCCTCTAGACCTCGCTGCTAGCTGAATTTTAATAATTTAAACTGTTAGACCCGGTCCAAACGCCGCTCCAGTCATGTTTTGAACCAAACTTGATTAAGTTCGACTTTAGAACGACTTTGGAGCGACGGCTGGTTCAGACAGCGTACTTGCGTCGAACTTAATTTGGGAGGCCGGTGGTAAAAACTTTCGCCGAGAAAATACGCGTTCTGAATTCAAGAACTCTGTCCAAATAGAAAAGCTGTGACTAACATTTCGCCGTTATAGCAATATTTAGGGAAGCAAATTCAAACTCAAGGTTCAGGGTTTGTATTTAGACAGGTTTTCTCCCGGCTAATTCGACTTGTTAAAGGGAAATCGCATAACCTGAGCTATTATCACGAAGAAAAAGCAAAAAGTGAATTTGGGCGAAAGAAACTCGCTTGTACAGTCCCGTTTCTCTTAAATCGAAGGCATACTTAATTTCGTTCTGTTTATTTTTAGTGACGACTTCGAGCTTCATGCATGACTGGTCACGCCACTCAATTTTGAGCCAATCACGAGTCCCGTTGTATGAAAAATACATTACAGTAATTAATCAGTAAGAAATCAGAAAAAAGCGATCTAGTCAAAGATTATTAGTTACTTAGGTTTTTATTAGCAGTTGCGTTGTTTTCCAATTTACCTGTAAATTAGTATTTTGTTCATTTCTCATCTGTCACCTTTCCAAGTCTTTCTTTTATAGTATACTGTTATTATAATATACTGTTATATATTGTTATTAGTTGCCATAGCTATTGTGTGCTCTTCTTATATTAATGTTTTGTATTCATATATAACTTAAACTATTTTAGACTTCCTTCATAGCATAGAAACAACGTTTTTCCTCGTCTTTTTTTCTTCTTCTTGTGTGTTCATTTGTGCTCAAGTTTTCTTGCTGACCTGTATTTTATTTCTATTTAATGCTGATGTTAACTGGCTGCCTTGCTCCGCTAGTCCCTATGGTTATTCCAGGCAGCTAGTACTCAAATTTTTACTTTTAATCGTTCCAAATCTTTATTAGCCATAATTACAAAATAACCCTTAAACTGTGATTTGCTTAATTATTATTTTGAAGCTGGGGAAAATTTCAGACGACGCCACAGCCATAATAGTCTTCTAGGCAGAGGTTCGTTACGCTAGTCACGCAATCAGGCTCCTGAGCATTGCGTGACGAAGCCAAAGAGCGTCTGGGTAGGAGTCTGGAATGTTTTATGTATTGAGTGTAATTCTTCTAAACACTCTCCTTAACCTTAAGGTTCTTTGCAAACCAGACAGAAATTCCAGTGTTTATAAACATCACCAATATGGCCACACCCATGGTGTTGATAAGCGAGACATAGGCAGTTGTTTCCTCCAACAAGTGCTCTTTCTTCAGATAGCTGACATTAAGGTCCAAGATTTTGAACGCATATTCCGTTGCCAGGGCAACGCAAAGGTGCAGGAAGTGGTGGCTGTTACCAATGAGATCAAACCTCCCGGGAAAAAGTCGTTCAGGTAACCTACTGCTGTACATGAAGCCCGCGAGAGTTGTGCAAAATACGTGACGGAGATAGTAACTGACAGACTCGCTACTACAGGCAGACAAAGCTCTACACGATGAGTTTGTTGCGTGACAGCTGCATAGCGTCACGCCAGCTGTAAATGGCAGAGTGCTGAAAACCCAGGCAACGAGGGCAGGTAAAGCACGGAGAAGGGTACTGAACTTGTTGACTGCAGCATCAGTCTTACAGCAACCGTACGTCACAAGAAACGAAAAGAGTGCCGCTAAACACAGGTACAAAGATGGCGACTCAAAGATTATACACTGTGTGTTCATTGGCCGAACGTAGAAGAACATTGCTTGGCTCGAGGTAAATGTGTACAGGCTTACGGCGGCGTAGTCAAAGAAGAAGCAGATTTTGTATCCTCGCTCAGACATAGAGTTGAGAAGATGCGCAACGGAGCTTGTGGAGTAAAGTATTAGAGTTCCAAAGGCAGAGGCAAAGAGAGGTAAATTGAAAGGATCTAGCAACGAGTTGCACTGAGTGGCGGCGGCCGTTCCATAACGCACCAAAAAGTAACATGTTGTTAAAATGTGGCTCCACACGTTAAAGCTCTCATTGTTTAGGTAGAAAAGGCTCTTGAAACACTGCCAAGGTGTACTGTAAGCTCTTCTATATCCCGACTTGATGAAGGGTTCTCGAAGACCCTTTGGCATTTCGCGTTCTTCAAAAAGAAGCTTGTCCTTTTGTGTGGCGCAATCCTTCATGCTGTCGTTGTTGTGGTAAGTGGTGCTTTTGGTAGGATTGTAGTTTCTGTTGCGCTTTGTGCTTGCCATGCTTCCGTCAGAGGCTGTGTAAACAAGTTTGAAGTAGGTTTATACTAAGTTAGGAGACAACAGCTGGTACTAACCCTGTATTTATATCAAAGTCAACTCTTAGAGGAGTAAAGTGTTATTTAAACTAATGAAGAGCTTGGTTTTAAGCTTTTTATTGATTTTTCACCTGTGTCAACCGAAGTTATTGCGCGCGAGGCATGTTTACAAGACCCTGGAATCGAGGAAGATTACCATCGTTCTATATTTGCATAATTATTCGCTGACTCATTCCGTTCTAAAAATATGCCCTTGCCATGGAAACGTTGAACTGGCATGGCGTCTCTACACATATGCCATAATAGACTCCTTGTCGATGAAAATACTGGAGTCCTAAGCTAAAACAGCATTTTGCATATGGTGTACTTAACCCGACTTTAAATAAGTAATATTCTCGGTCGATATTTATAAAAATAAGTCAAGCGTAAAGTGTAGCTAGGTAACTGAAAAGCGTGAAAACAATGTATGAGAACGGTGCTCAAATGAACTTGGAATATCATTTGAAAACTGTAAAGCAGTGTTTATTCTTTTGTGTCGAATATACAGGTATCACATAACTACATCAAACAAGCAGCTTTACTTGTTCGGGTATAAACAATACAGAAAATACAAACTATCAGATTTTGCTCTTACAGGATAAAAGCTGAATGAAAATTCATTTCAATCTTACAGTGAATAATTTCTATGTTTTCTCTACTTTGGTTTCTGTTTCCAGGGAATAAATTGGATGCAGCAGGTTCTGGCAAAAACTGGTCAGTCAAATTCTAAATCTTTCGTTAGTTACATCCCGAAACACAAGAAACTACATGCTGTGGTTTTGAAAAACAGAATACTCCATGTTACGTAACTTAAGCTCAGGAACACAGATTATTTTTCGATATAACCACCGGCAAACGTACCTTCCATGCATTTGCAAGTCTTCAAACAAAACTTCTCGAAGTACAAATCAGTTAGCGAAGAGCCGTGAGTTTGGGCGTCTTCGACTCATTAATAATTACAAACAAGGACAAATAACCAGTAACGCTTGATTTGCGACCAAACGCTAATTGGTATGCCAAGTCTTCAGATGCGTTGTAAAGTGATACATTAGCTTGGCCGAGACTTTGCACTGTCTTGTGATTTCCTTGCGTTAATTTCTAATTTCTAACCCTTAGTATTAACAAATTGGGCGAATTTCTGAATTTCTCGTCAAGGTCGGATGTGCACCCTGAAATTTTTTCTCACCCGCGCGTCTTTTCTGCTTTAGTGAGAAATTGTAAACACAATACTGATATCAAAGAGATGGGAGTTACTATTCCCATAGCCTGAACCCGGTCTTAGTATTTAATAAAGAACATAGCTAATCGTTAAAAGAAAAAAAACACAATGGCACGTTTTATAAGTCCATAACCGTGACCGAGTAGGCTGGAAAGATGGACATTGTAGGTCCGCACTAAGTTCAAGCCCGATAACTGTTTCTTACTGAATTATGCGTGACAACGCTGCCAGACGAAACGTAAACAAGTAGTCCTTTCTTCGATCCTGAAAAGCCTATTGACTGTCGTTTAAGTAGTAATTTCATTGCTAAAACTAAGAGGAAGACAGCGGAATTAGTTTACTCACCGTCTGGAGAGATTTGCAGCTGAACAAGGTTATAATGAGATCACGGAGAGAGCAACACATTCATTCAGTTACAACCGTTCGAATCTTCAATTCTCGTTACTTATTTTCGTACATTTCTTACAATGTTACGGCTCAAAATTTGGCAATCAGCTTTACATCCGCTACTTCCATGAGATGCTGTTAGGTGTTAAAAATATTGCACCACTACGGACAGGAGAAATCAGCCTCCAGCGGTCTTTCAGTTTCAAAGTACACTCTAATACATAAATATTTATTCACAGTTGATTGTCAAATGGTCACGAAACAACAGCGCGTTCAAATGATCATCGCTGTCTAAGCTAAGTTACTAAATTTCTAGGGTAAATAGTTCTTTAAATATGGTTTGGGGTAATCTCCTCCAGATGTATATTTTATTGCTGTAGATGTTTCCTTCATGCGTAATTTATTCAACAACACTTCGTATGTAATTTCTGGTATTTATATTGATCCATGTCACTTTGTTTACGAAACACTGACTTCACACAATGAGTTTTCACGTAAATGGTAACGAGAACATGACTTGCGTTTTTAACCCTCGTTCTTAAAAATGTGGAGAGTATAGACATTGCTCATATTAGACATCCCTAAAACCCACAAAAGTGACTTTAGAAAATAGAATAAGCGGCATGTTTTAGAAACGCTCTACGTCCTTGGAGAATATGAAAACAACACAATTCTTTGACCTTTTTTGAATTGCCAATTAGCATTTTGAAGATGAAAATGGAAAAAAATTATTCAAATCACTTGACAATATTTTCTGAACTGTTGCTCAAATGAAATTTTGTATTCATCTCAGAATGTTTTCATGAAGTCGCGGCTCATAAATAAAATAGATAAGCGATATACATTGTATAGCGTGACGGAGATACTGACGGAAATTGCTCGAAAACCGCAGAATGGTACTATGAACTTTTGCTTCTCATGTGAGTGACGTAGCATGTCTCTGTTCGTCATTTTACACCTCACTGATCATTTAACATTATTGCAAGACGCCTAAGTTTACTAAGAAGCAACGGGAACATTTCAACACAAACATTTATGTCGAAATGAAACTCCGATCAAAGTCCGTGATTCCTGCCCACGAAAAGGTAAATAATAATCGAAACAACAACGACAGAGGCGTTTCAGCGAAGTTATTGAATGGAAAAAGCGGGAAACATGTCCTTTTATACAACGTCAGTGATGTTCCACCCGGCCTTCACGAATCATTCGTCAGAACAGGATACAGAAAGCCTAACAGCACTACCTGGGAATGTCTCCAAAGCCTCTTTTACGTCAACAACGAGTCTTTCAACATGTGGAGTCATATCATAGCAGTTTTGTACTTTATTGTGCGGTATACAGTAGTTCTGCTTGAGTTACGACAACCGAGCTCGCCTCAGAGAGATTTCTATTGGCCAATGTTGTCATCGTTTATCGGAACAATCACCGTGTACACATTGAGCGTCACTGCTCATGTGTTTAACTCCAAATCGGAAAAGATGCACAGAGTTTTCTACTTCTTCGACTATGCAGGTATCAGCATTTATACCTTCACTTCAGGCCAAGTAATGTATTACTACAATCGACCAACTAACACCCAGTGGAGAATTTTCGAATCAGCAGTGATGTACACGCTCCTGGGCGCTGGTTTATCTTTTTTGGCAACGTTCTATAGCTGCAAGAGCAAAGTACATCTTCAAAAATACGGACCAGTCATCCGTATAATCGCAGTGTTCGCTGGCTGGATCAACACCGTGCTCGCTCCAACGGTTGGCGTGACGATGTGTAGCTGTCACGATGTCACGAAATGCCAGTCCTTCGTTTCCTGTAACGAATTGCTCGTTACGTATTATTGGCGTCACTGTTTTTGTTCCGTCGCGGGGGGAGTGATTTATGGTAGCAGACTACCTGAGCGCCTTCTGCCAGGAACATTCGACATCATAGGAAGCAGTCATCATTTTCTTCACATCTTTGGTGCTCTTTCCACGGAGTACGCCTTCAAAATTCTAGAAGTTGCGTTGGAGAGCCGCCGGGACCCGAGAAATGAAATTTTGGCGCAGTCACTGACTGAAATATCGAGCTTGGAGACTTTGTTCCCAACCATTGTAGTTTTTGTTGTAAATATTGCGATAGCATTTTGGTTTGCGAAGTCGATTTACAACTCTAAAGATCCTGTGAGTAGGAACGAAATGTGATGTTCTAGAATTTCTGGAGTGAGGTACGTAGCAAGCCTAGTTGCCATGATAACGGATGCTATTTAACACATGAAATCCCTTTCGGATTTGCGTACTAGAATATATTTTGAAAATTTCGTTGTGTGAGGAAGGGTATATGCGCACACCGCAGGGCGTATGTGTGCCGTGATCATTAATTTTACAATACTGATGGTGTTCCAAAAGCCTGATAATTTTTCACTTTTTCTAAATCGTTACAGTAACAGTAACAATTCAATCACTACAATTCGCAAAATATGTCAAAATAGAATCATGGCCGATTTTCGAATCTGTAACAAAACAGAAAGAAATAAAATCTTCGTGGTTCTTGTTTGCCTGAATAAAATACGTCCTCTCTTTCACGCGCCTCTCGGCCCCGGTTGTATTCCATGAGAGCTGCCATTGCGATTTGACATTACAAACTCAGCTGTGGAAAAAAAATATGAAAGCGATATCACAACTTAAAATCTATCAAATATTTTCGATCGCGCACGATTGCTTTAAACAAGTCACGTGACTGAATATGCCCCAGCTAGATCTGAGGAATATCCGAGAGGTATTCCTCAGTTTTCAAAACGGCGCGCGATGTGAAGAATATTTGACAGATGATAAACACAATAGCCTCCTTTGAGTGCGAAAATATGCTCGGATATCATTCTCAGATATTGTCCTCAAAGCTCACTGTTTTCCTCGAGCTATGCTCTCGGAAAACTGTTGGCTTCTCGGAACAGATAATGTCCGCGGACAAATATCCGCGCATATTTTCGCGCCAAGTGAAGGCTATTGTTTATATAATTTGAAATAAAAGATAATTGCTCGTGACTTTCAACAATTCTAATCACAGTTTAAAACTAAATCAGACTTCAAGGAGCTCAGCACGGTACCGTGAGTTATTTAGGCCACGTACAAAACTACTTTTAAATTGAAGGAATCCTGAGAATAGTAGTTTATTAAGATAGAAAATCACCAAAGAGAGTGATAATAAACCATAAAGGAACAAGGATGGTTAAGGATGGAGAAGATTCTGACACGAATTACAAACGACGAACTTGAAAAATTTAGCTTAAACTTTTCAAAATGCACAAACCGTGACGTAACTCCATTAAGGTCGAAGTAAAATGATAGCAAACCTACCTTACTTGTTGCCACGGTAACGCAAGCTTGAATTAGGAAGCTTTACTAACTCATACACGTAGTAACCATCACAAGTACGGACCCTGATGGCGACTGTATACTGACAGCAGTTGTCTTCCCAATGAAAGAAAGCTTCTCGGACCGCTCTACCTTGCTTGACAGATGGGTGTTTACCACTGAGCCAGCCAAGAGCATGAGTGCTGCTGCGCCATGTGGGAACACACTGCTCCGGTATCTGAGTACCAGACTTCCCTATCGTGCGATACCAACCAAAGCTGAGAGCGTTTGGACCTGTATTGTCTGTTTTAATGTGGCTTCTGTCAGTGTTACTCATGGCCCGGTCTGCTTGATCGAGTACTTTGTAGGTGTGGCATTCAGAACCCAGCGCTATAAAACAGCAAAAATGAGCATTACAGTGTTGAATCAATGTCATCCGAAAACTGTTTTAACAAAACCTAGCTGTAAGGAGTGTTTTCACACTCAATTTTACTCTAAGGGCCGAAAATAACTCAACTTATTTTTCCACAAGTAAGAGCAAGTAATCTCTATATGACAGGTGACGTCCTTCTTTTCTAACCTGAAGAGATCAAGAGTATTGCTACACCGTCCGTCTCGATGTGATACTAGTCTATAGCAAATTGCTTCCACCCTTATCCCCCTTCCTCCCCTCCCCACTTCTTCAGGTTGCCCCAGCAGCACTCAGCTAAGTACCCGCCTCGACGCTACGGGCAGATGAGCCTCACCTGATCCAGGTAGTCCCTCATACCTGGATCATGTCAGACAGACAAACAAAACGACAGATAAATTGTCGCACAGACAGACAAAGACGCTGACGGTCAGTCAAACAAAAGGACGGATCAGAAATGATTTGGGATGCATGGATGCATGGATAGATGCAATGACGGATGAGCGAATACATGAGCTTAGTCGGGGTCATTGCAGGTGGGGTGGGATAAGTGTCTGATTTCAGTCAGTGTGACTATTATTTACCACTCAGTTATGAAATAAAATTCCCACTAACACTTATGGTTGCCACAGTAACGTGCAAAGCAAATAGGAGCGGGTGGAAGCTCATACACATAGTAACCTCCATAGTTCAAGATCTTGATGTCGTTTTTCCACCTACAGCAGTTGCCATCCCAGAGGTAACAAATTTCACGGGTAACTATTCCTTCCTCGACAGCTGGGTGTTTACCATTTAACCAGCCAGTGGCCGCGGTGCCGCAGATACCTTTCGGAACACACTCCTCGGGGATCTGGTCACCCGTCTCTGCCATCATGCGGTACCAGCCTGTTAAAAACTCGCCTTTTCTGTCACATTTGTACTTTGAGCCTGGTTGGTTCTTATAGCCCATAGCGCGATCGCCTTCATCTAGTTTCTGGTACTGGTCACTTTGACATTCTAAATGTGTCCCTAATNGACAAACAAAACGACAGATAAATTGTCGCACAGACAGACAAAGACGCTGACGGTCAGTCAAACAAAAGGACGGATCAGAAATGATTTGGGATGCATGGATGCATGGATAGATGCAATGACTGATGAGCGTATACATGAGCTTAGTCCGGGTCATTGCAGGTGGGGCGGGATAAGTGTCTGATTTCAGTCAGTCTGACTATTATTTACCACCCATGAAATAAAATTCCTACTAACACTTATGGTTGCCACAGTAACGTGCAAAGCAAATAGGAGTGGGTGGGAGCTCATACACACAGTAACCTCCACAGTTCAAGATCTTGATGTCGTTTTTCCACCTACAGCAGTTGCCATCCCAGTAATAACAAATTTCACGGTTAACTATTCCTTCCTCGACAGCTGGGTGTTTACCATTTAACCAGCCAGTGGCCATGGTGCCGCAGACACCTTTCGCAACACACTCCTTGGGGATCTGGTCACCCGTCTCTCCCATCATGCGGTACCAGCCTGTTAAAAACTCGCCTTTTCTGTCACATTTGTACTTTGAGCCT